GTTAAAAGGTAAAGGTATCAACAGGCTAGCTAACATAATAAAACAATTAGCTGCTTCACAATTGTATACCACTTTGTGTTGGTCTTTCACATTAAATTCCAGTGAAATATATTTATGTTTGTGGTTGTAATGTGACAAAATATGGAAAAGTTCAAGGGGTATGAATACTTTTGCAAACCACTGTATGTGAACCTTTAGCCACCCTTTGTTCCACTCTGCAGAAAAATGTAGCTTTGCCCCTGGTCTTTACAGAAACATTACACTTTAACTACACGGTGATGCAAAACAAAACAGTGCTGGTACTTATTTATCTAATTAGTATCAGTATTATAAATAATCATAATTATTCCRAAATATTTGGGCTTATTTTTGTTTTTAGTTTTGATCCTCGTGCAATTATATTTGTCACCAAYAGAGGGGCGACACGCTTTCCCCTTCGCTGATAAGGACACGTCACTACACCGCACCGGCGAGGCAGGGAACAAAATTTGATTGATAGTCATTCGACCAATCAGGTATCTGAATTGTTTCTAAGGGCTGATGCTTAACCAATGAACGAGCACRAAAGTAGTAAAGGGGCGGGGGAATTGCGTTGAAGTGAAGGTAGTGTGAGTAAAAGTGAATGAGAAGCAGGAGCGAAGTGAGTATGTCAACATTTAACGTTGAATTAATTTTATTTTGGACTGGAGGTTTCTGGTTAAATATGTTTTCTTGAATTTGAAGTGCTTTAAACATCGCTCTGGGAAAAAGGCAGGTCGTAAGAACAGCTTTCAGTCAGCGGCAGCTAGCAGGTTAGCTTAGCTAGGTATTCATACTTTTAGCTGTATCCAGGAAAACTGCATCAACAAGCCGATATGATGGCGACGAGACATTACATGTTGTTTGCTTGCATGGATGCTTTTCTGTGCAAAATGTCTATTTGGTAGTGTAAATTGTGTAGTTAAAACAGCTGGTGCAAGTGTTGTTCTTGTGTTACTCAGGGTTCGCTGTGTGTGTTGCCCATTAATGTAGGTTGAATCAGAAAACTGATCTCTTTCGCGGTCCAGCTTTCCTCTTTGAAAGAGACTTTTTAAAGCCTACCAGAGGATAGGTACCAACCCCTGCACTCAAAGTGGACACTTCCTGCTTCATGACGACATTATTACTGCGTGGCCTTATCTGGTTGAGCTGAACATGGGAGGTCACATAAGCAGATTTTTTTTTAACTTTAATTTCTTTAAAACCTAAAAACCTCATTTAAATAGGATTTATATTGAAGGATACCCCCTTCCCTCGTGTAAACAAGCCTTTATAAGTTATTGTTTGCTTGAAAATGTCACAGAAAAGTCTTATTTCCACAGTCTGTTTTATACCAGTGCATGTTCTGATTTTTGACAGGTAGTAGGTGAGCTGTCCCTAACCTCGCCAAAATGACCAAACTGGGCTTCCTGCGTCTGTCCTATGAGAAACAGGACACGCTGCTGAAGCTGCTCATCTTGTCTATGGCTGCTGTCCTCTGTGAGTCGTCTGCAGTCCTTTAACCAAGCAGCTCCTTAATGCTAGAAAACTGTCTGGATAATCATCTTCTCTTTTCCTCCTCAGCGTTTTCCACCCGGCTCTTTTCTGTGTTGAGGTTTGAAAGCGTCATCCATGAGTTTGACCCGTAAGTGTTGCTTGGTTATTTGAAAAATGAATAAACAAATAACTTGCAGCCATGTTTCATCTTCGCTTTCGTTTGAACAACCAGGTACTTTAATTACCGTACAACCCGCTTCCTGGCAGAAGAAGGATTTTATAAGTTTCACAACTGGTTTGATGACAGGGCATGGTATCCTCTGGGGAGGATCATAGGTGGCACCATTTACCCAGGTAAGGCTCTTGAGCTGAAACATGGTCTAAACATCACAAGGTTGAACAATAATAATTACCTTTTTGTCATTTTCTTCAGGATTGATGGTCACGTCTGCCGTTCTGTACCATGTTCTGCATTTTTTTCACATCACTATTGACATCCGCAATGTGTGCGTCTTCCTTGCTCCCTTGTTCTCATCCTTTACGGCCATCGTCACCTACCACTTCACCAAGGAGCTGAAGGTAAAACGCAGCACAAGCTCAAACTCAGTCCCTCTGCAACCTGTGTGGAATTTGGTTTTAGTTTCTTTTGTGACTATAGAAAAAAAGAAAACATCACGAATGAACGTTAATGTTTCCAACCTTTAGTTCCCTCTTGCTGTAAAAGATTCAGCTACTTTT